ATGTAAGGAATCCTACCAACATAATAACTTAACCCCACAACTGAGATCTGCAGTCAGACACCGCGAGCTCAGCGGTGGGGCGCTCAGGAACAATCGCCCTAGGAGCGCTAGATCCCATCGACTTCTGACGCGCACAGACACACGTCAGAAGTCCTCCGTCAGAATAATGTAGTACGTAAATTTCTACGTCGTTCCAGCTAATTTTTCAAGTATAAAAACTTTAAAAGATAAATGTTCAATAAAAAATGACACATTCTGGCAGGTTTTCGATTCTTCAAAAAAATATTTCAATACCTACATTAAACACTTTTAATATGAGACTATTCACAGACGGAGCATTGCAAAAGAACTACGATTTTGGCTTTGTCTTGGCAGAGTTTTCTTTCAGCCTCTGAGCTTTCAGAAGCTTCTTGGCTTGTTTGTCCCGCTTCTTCTTGGCAACGAGCTGCTCATCGTCCAGCGTGTAAACGACGAGCTTGACCGAACATTCCTCGTCGCTGAGCGTGAACGTCGAGCGCAGGACTGGCTGCCCCGCCATGGCCACCTGCAGCGCTTGGTGCTCCTGCGTCAGCTCCTGCAGCAGGCGGTCTTCCTGCCACTGCAGCGCCTCCAGCGACGCTATGCTCATGTCACCTTTGTACACATGATCGTCGTTCACCTGCACGTCACGATCGAATAAATCAATTTTTATTACGAGTAATACTGAGGTCACCTTTGTACATAACATACGTAGTTCTTCGTCCGCACGATACGGTTGAAGAAAAAACAAGTTTTTAAAAAATCACTTGTTCAGTCCACTTAATCAGGGACATTGTCCTGGTTCATCTGGCAGCATACGAAAAACAAGGTACCAAGGATAGCATCTGATCCTCATAATTAACAGTTCAGTTTTCAGGTAAAAAAAATCACTTACAATAATCGCCTACATTCATTACTATTAAGATAAAAAAAATATTATGAAATTTAATTGACAATGTAGGTAATATGAGTATATTTTGCTTCTGCTTGCTGAAGGAGAATTCTTTGAGAACAGCCGTTCTCGGTAAATTGCCATTATTTCAATAATTATATAGTATGCTATGGTTCTATTATATAGGAATAATTAAAACGCAAAGAATATTGTTATTAAAACAAAAACAATGGTATTGTTCTAAATACAATGCGGCGTAACAATGTAAGTCGCAGTGATTACTTTGAAATTCCTAGGCTGAATATCGAGACTCTTGGTAACATAGACACGGTGGCAGGGCTGGTAGTCGCAATATCAAGACTCACGGTAACATAGACACGGTGGCAGGGCTGGTAGTCGCAATATCAAGACTCACGGTAACATAGACACGGTGGCAGGGCTGGTAGTCGCAATATCAAGACTCACGGTAACATAGACACGGTAGCAGGGCTGGTAGTCATGGTCCACCTCAGGCCACGGCTGCTCGTGCACGTCTTCGCTCTGACCACGGAGGAACAGACGCAGGAATTGACACGTTACAAGCCAGATACAGGATCCTGTTTACACTGCAATGTATACGTTAAAGAAATTATATTTCAAAATATATGGTACGGCAATATACCGGTAACCTTTTTATATAATACAATTGATGAAAAAATAAGAGGAGTTATATTAAATCTGATACGGTACGGCAACATAATTCCTTTATCTATAATGTAAATAGTAAAAAAAAGAGGTAGTTTTTTTGCAGTACGCTTTTTAAATGGAAAAAGGTGCAATATATGTGGCGGTTAGGAACATGTATTCAAAGATAAAACATATAAGGCTTATACAAGACAAGAGCCAATATGTGTATTGTTGTTCGGTTTACAACATGAGAGAGAAAATGGTAGTTTTGATGGTAGAGAAATGGTAGTTTTGATGGCGATCGTTGATGGTAGTTTTTTAGATCACATCGCGAAATAGTGAGAGCTCGGTCAGAACCTATAGTTCTGATTAAACAGGCGGAAAATACAGAACAAATGAAATAAATCAAGGGATATATGAATCAACACTCGGGAAATTATGAAGCTTAAGATTGGTCAATAAATGAGAGTTAGAAATAATCTTGCTAAGAGATCGGTGGTCTTTTTAGAGTTACATTATTTTACCCTGAAGTGGTGGAGATGCGCGTGATGGATATTGTAAAATAAATTGAAGTTTCTATAGTTTAGGTGTGTGGTTAACTTTAATAAATTCATGGTAATCTTTGAAGACTTGTATTGTAAAGTTAGATATATAGATGAGTAACCTTATAGTGCGGGAGGTGTGCGTGATGTGAGAAGGCGAGCCACATCTCGGCGACGAGGTGTGGCATGATGGGCGCCAGCATCAGCAGCAGCGCAGCGAGGGAACGCTCGTACTCTGCTCCATACATCGCTGTCAAGGGCGCGCTCTGCAGGATTAATAGACTTCATTAAAGGACTATGTGAGAAGTAGATCATGAGGAATAACTTAAATTGTTAACAAAAATTGGAAATCATGATCTACTTTGAAGACTGAGATGAAGCGATCCTAATAAGTATGTGACCAGGGGACATACTATCAAAATTCGCTTAGGTAGACGTAGCGGCCTAACTACAAGAAAACGGAGCCCCTGAGTACATGTAGCGGCCAATTTTTTGTCCGTGATTAATGGGTTTAGGTCGTAAAGTCGTCAGTGATTGATTGAGGTAATTTCGAACTCGTAACTGTATTTGCTAGTGCGGCCCCAGAGCATAAGATTCTTGACATGGAGTCCCATAACTAGTTTTTAAAACACGGCCCTGAAGAATAAGCGGAGCCCGAGCGCCTGACCGTGACCCTACATATTGTGAGACCAAATCATGAGTATGACAAGTCCCAGCGCCAAGCCTGACCCTACATATTGTGAGACCAAATCATGAGTATGACATGTCCCAGCGCCAAGCGTGACCCTACATATTGAGAGACCAAATCATGAGTATGACAAGTCCCGGCACATATTGTGAGACCAAATCATGTGTATGACAAGTCCCAGCGCCAAGCCTGACCCTACATATTGTGAGACCAAATCATGAGTATGACAAGTCCCAGCGCCAAGCCTGACCCTGATCCTACAAACTGTGAGACCAAATCATGAGCATGACTAGTCCCAGCACCAAGCCTGACCCTGATCCCACAGATTGTGAGACCAAATCATGAGTATAACAAGTCCCATCACCAAGCCTGACCCTGACCCTACATATTGTGAGACCAAATCATGAGTATAACAAGTCCTTAAGCCTGACCCTGATCCTACAGATTGTGAGACCAAATCATGAGTATAACAAGTCCCAGCACTAAGCCTGACCCTGATCCTACAGATTGTGAGACCAAATCATGAGTATAACAAGTCCCAGCACTAAGCCTGACCCTGATGTGTCGCGTGAATGTCTCTAGCTTGCGCACTGCGGTGTGCTGCTGGTGGTCGGCGTAGTGACGCGTCACCTCCTGCACTGCGCGGTTACGGTGGCCACGCAGCACTTCTTCCGCTGCCTCCACTCCCGCCGACTGCTGCGCCTCTTTTGTCTGGCAATAATTTACATTAAAATGATAAATCCACAATAAAATATAAGTTATTTTGTAAGACATCAATGGCCATTTTGCATGGCTGCAATTGTGATCATGAGGAATCGGTATTCGGCATGAATTTGTTTACTGGTAGTGATCATTTACGCTTACAATGTTTTGATTCGCGCACCTGACAGAAAAATATTCTTGACTGAAAACATTTACTGATTGTAAACTGTTCTTATTTGAAAAAACTGTTATTTGAAAATACATACATGAAAACCAATAAGTAAACAGTGCAATAAGGGAAGTTACCTTAAAAAGATTATCAACGACCATAACCAAGAACTTCGAAGTTATTTTTGTATTAATGTTTTCGCCTTTGGGAAGTAATATTTCAGTGTTTTCAATGAAAAAAACTTATGCGTCGTGAACCTCTGAACGAGTCTTCATGAAGCACGAGATCGCGAATCATGCTTATAAAGTAGGAGAAAATAACACTCAAAGTTCTTAGACACAATATGGACTGCAATATGGCAACGAAAGTCGTGAACTATATACAAAAATGACAGTAATTGCTCCACAGGACGAAAACATACGAATAACTTCGCACCTTCCGTAGTGTCAATTAAATCTAAGCTTTCTTATATTTATTTTGAGATATTTTATTTTGATATATTTTAGTAAGATAATATTTTGGAGACAGTATGCTGCCGACCACATCGCATCCAAGAACCGAATATTAGGAAGAGAATTGAGCTAAAGGGGACCGACTACCCTAAAATTTTCAATTTTGGCGTTTTCCGGTTTTTGTGCTCATCTTAAAGATTACTTTTTGACGCATCCAACCGTACCAGAATCATCCCTCTACGTCGAAAAATGATTTCGTAACAGCCCCCCGAAGGGAGGGAGTTTTTAGAGCCCTTCAGTAAAGCCTATGGGATTAATTCTTAGTTTTAAGGCTTGGTTGCGGTATGTTGGCTACGTTACGACTCTTTTACGTCATTTTACGTGCCGCCCGGCAGTTTTTTGGGCGTCCTGAAAACCTCCGATTGGTCGCACGGCAAACCTATCTCCTCCTACAGTTTTCAAGCTACAGCAATAAGACATATACCATTCGATTCGTAAAGACCATACCTATAGAACTGATGATCATTTTTTTGAATTTCTGTCTGGTTAGTTTTTTATATGGGGGAGAGGGGGGGAGGGGGGAAAAATGAGAAAAAATGAGAAAATGGGATAAAATGCGCATAAAAAAAAAACTAAGGGGAAAATGAGAAAAATGATCATCAAATCTATAGGTATGGTCCTTACGAACCGAATGATATGTGTCTTGATGTTGTAGGATGATATTTGTAGGAGGAGATAGATTTTCTAAAGTACCCTTTTTTAGCCGTTTTCTATGAATTTCACGTTCTCTATCAATTGTTTCGAAAAATAAATTTGAGCAAAATGTTATTTTTTTTACATTTTACGTATGTATGTGAAGTTTCATGATGATCGGATAATAACTGTAGAAGTTTTTCCGGAGGGTAGTCGGTCCCCAGAAGAACAACTGAGAACATAGGCTCAGGCATCACAATTCAATTTAATTAAAGAAATGGTCACAAATTCCAGTCTATACAAAACAAAAAGTGATGTATTAATTGTCGAAAATAATGAGGTCTGGCATGATTTTAATTCAATAGTCTGAAGTTTTCTGCTTTTAGTTTTGAATAAAATAACAAAAGGATAATTTTTTTCCATATTTCATTACGGTATGTATTTTAACACAAATTAGGCAATAATCGAACAAAAAATTACATAAAATGCCGTCATGGATGGAAACAAGGACCCATTTTAGGAGACAATCAGGTTAAAAAAACCACACTGAAATTGGGCTTTTTTGATAATAAACAACAACAATACGCTCCTCATGCATTCAGAAAAGTCCTTCGCATTATTATTTCCAAAAAAACGGGAAAAATACTTCAATACAAAACTAAGAATACTGGTAACCTTGCGATGAAAGCGACTCACTTGTCTCATGTGCACGAATTTACCGACGGTCTTCCACAGGACGAAGATCCATCGCATGACGGGGAAGAAGCTCTCCTGCTGGCGCCAGGTCCTGTTGTTCGCAGGCGCCTCCTCCCGCAGCACCGCCAGCCGCGTCGCGTCGCACGAGAACTCAGCCATCACCGCGGACGGCGCTACGCCGTTGTGCTTACTTTTGCTCATCTTCTCCACCATTACCTGCGACCATTGTGTTATATTATATACCATTACCTGCGACCATTGTGTTATATTATATACCATTACCTGCGACCATTAGAGTATATTATATGCCATTATCTGTGACCATTAGAGTATATTATATGCCATTACCTGGCAATCATTACATTATATTATATATACCATTACATGCGATTATACATATACCATTACCTGCGACCATTACATGCAATTATTCACAATCATTAGCGAATACGATGTAAGATTTGCAGCTGTATGAATTTTAAAACTAAAATCGTCAAGATTAATTAGGTAGGTAGTAAGTACCTCAGGAGCCAGGGCCCTCATAGGAGACCCAGCCACCTCAGGAGCCAGGGTCCTCATAGGAGACCCAGCCACCTCAGGAGCCAGGGCCCTCATAGGAGACCCAGCCACCTAAGGAGCACTCAAGTGCCCCACCAAGCCACACCTTGACAGGGGCGCCGGTGCCTCGCTCGACGGGAGGGCTGACGCTGCAGTCGACGTCGTCAGGGCGCAGGTACTTGCCGTCGCTGACGCGGACGTACGCAGGGGCCTTGATGCGCCCCACCAGCAGCAGCCTGCGTCAGGAGTTACGTCAGTCTCGGACGTGAACAATGAACTCGGGAAATTATATATGTCAACAGCAGAATTCAGCATCGAGTTTGCACTTAGGAGATACAAGATTTCGATGAAGAAACATGAGTTTTGGACCCGAACTAGAGTTTAATACTCAGTCAACATCAGTTTGTCATGTACCAGGATTTGAATAATGACGATAGGTTCATGAAAGCAAAATTCTTCCACATTCGAAGGATTCTGAAAGAAGTAATCAGAAAGTTGAGCCAAGTCATATGTACAGTATGAATATTGTACACAGATACACATATCTACAGAGATAATGAACTGCTAGATTATATATATTTGCCTGATGGACTGTGTGTGTCCTGTTCAGTTACACTGAGGGGGCAACGCGATGATATTAAATGATGATCCAAGTCAAGACGATGATATAACACGATGATACAAGTCAACACGATGATATAACACGACGATACAAGTCAACACGATGATATAACACGATGATACAAGTCAACATATCAGCATTAGCTGACCTGGTGAAAGGTTCCGAGTGGCTCGTGAGGCCCTGGCTGTGCAGGAAGAGCTGCATGAACCGCGCGTAGTACAGATGTAGTACCGCTGTAACATGTGACGGGTTACATGAGACAGGTAACATGCGACGGGTTACATGTGACAGGTAACATGTGACGGGTTACACGTGACAGGTAACATGCGACGGGTTACATGTGACAGGTAACACGTGACAGGTAACATGCGACGGGTTACACGTTATCTGTTACACGTAACAGGTCATTAGTACCGCTGTAACATGTGGCGGGTTATATGAGACAGGTAACATGCGACGGGTTACATGTGACAGGTTACACGTGACAGGTAACACGTGAAAGGTCACTAGCATGGCTGTAACACGTGACAGGTAACACGTTACAGGTAACACGTTACAGGTAACACGTTACAGGTAACACGTGACAGGTTACATGTGACAGGTAACATGTGACAGGTAACAAGTGACAGGTAACACGTGACAGGTAACACGTGACAGGTAACACGTGACAGGTTACATGTGACAGGTAACATGTGACAGGTAACACGTTACAGGTAACACGTTACAGGTAACACGTTACAGGTCACTAGCACGGCTGTAACATGCCAAAGCTAAGAACAGATATCGCAACTCAAGGTTCACGAATAGATCAGATTTTGTTTGGCAGGCCTGTGCTCATCGTGTACTTTCAGAATCATTTAATATGATAATAAATCTATTACGTATGACTCGAAATAACTACGTAGCACAGACTAAAAATTTATACAATAATAAATTTGAGCATCTTTGACTAGATCCAACTTTAGCTGCTCATAAAACTGCAGAGCTACAACTGTTTCATTACAACGCGATAAAAATGAAGTATTGCAAACATAATTTGTTCAACCCATCATTATTCTTGCCATATTTGTTTTCCCCATATATGGTAACCCCATATTCGTTCGCGCCATATTCATCACCCCATATTCGTTCACGCCACATTGGTTCACGCCATATTCGTTCACCCCAGACTCGTTCACGCCACATTCATCACCCAATATTTCTTCACGCCACATTCATCACCCCATATTCGTTCACGCCACATTCGTTGCCACAGAAGCAAGACAGGAAGTATGTACCATGTTCCTCGCCCCCCACGTAGACGTCAACAGGCATGGCCGCGTCAACGAGCGCGCGCTGGAAGGGCGCCTCTGCGTTGCCAGGGTCGAGGTAGCGCAGGAAATACCACGACGAGTCCACGAACGTGTCCATCGTGTCCGTCTCGCGCTCTGCCGCACCACCGCATCTGAAACCGTTATCATTCACACAACAAATAATACTGCACTTATAAACTATGCAAAATGCTATACCTCTTAACTATAAAAAATATAAGCTATGCAATAGGTTGTTTATAGTTCGGTTGGACAAGTCGAAAGTTGGAGAAATTAATGGATCATAAGGTGCAAATAGTGACACACTTTATGTCCATATTAATGATGAGCCATTTTGCGGGGCGAAACTTGGCCAGGATTCTTTACGCATGAAGAGAAAGTGCATTGATATTTGAACAACGTTTGACTCAAAATCTATAGTTGCAGCTTCTCTCTCTTCTAACTGTTGAAATTTTTTCAACCCCCCAATCTGAATAATTTTAAACTCTGTCTGAAAATAAGATTTACGTTGAAAGCAAAGCATATGTTTGTTCTCATAGGACCCAGGAATAGTAATTTTGTAGAGAATTACATGATGTGTCTCACTGAGGGCAGTTACACGCAGTGAATGCTGGAATGGAGCGGAGGCTGGCATGAGGCTGTGGCATGTCAGGACGATGGCACGGCAGCAGCACGGGCAGCTCACATGACGGCACAGGCACGCTGCCACACGACGGGCAGTGCACCACAGGTATGGGCGCGCCCCACGACCGCTGCCGGGCAAACATGCATGCATAATTGCTCAGGCTTCAATAATGAACATAACTGTCGTAAATCAACATTTCAGGCCTCAATAATGTGCATTGCTATCGTAACTCAATATTTCAGACCTCAATAATGCGCATTGCTGTCGCAACTCAATATTGCAGGCCAAGGCTGAAGTCATGAGTAATATGTGAACAGTTACACATTACACATTGGACCAAAAACCCTGAAAATAGACATTACTTTCAGAATTCATATTAAATTTTGGAGCCTGCGGAGCAAGTTACCAGGCAGGAACTATCTTGAATATCTGAACTACTTTTCCTAAAATTTGCAACTGTTGCAGATTTTAAAGAAGTACATCGCTGTGCCGTCCAGACCTCAATGTCATTCAATTCAACACATAGTAACTCATGTACGCGAACAACAAACTAAGCAAGAGTTAGTAATAGTAAGTAGAAACAAGAAACAAGGAGGAATATTAAGAAGAAACAAAGAGGAATAGTAACAATAAACCAGGAGGTGCACCTGGCGAGAGATGAGCCAGTCCTTGAGGTGGGCGCTAGCAGGGAACCCGCCAGCGCCGCGCTGCTCCAGCAACTGCAAGACTTTGACGCGTGCAGCGCTGCAGCTCAAACCTGTCAGCTCAGAGCTGTTGTGCAGGTTAGGATCAAAGCTCAATTCAACTTGTGTATGGGAATTTTCACTGCGAGGTAGCAATGGATGATTAATCTCGCTCATTTCCGAGATTTGTTCAGCTTTAAAGTTATGTGAAGCATTTTCCGTAACATCGGGGTTGAGGCCGTCACCGATGGTTGATCTTATCACGTGGTCAATAAGTCTATTATGCTTGTTCACTCCTTCCAAGTCTGACAAAACAGATGCATTTGTCTGTTCTTGGATGTATTTAAACGTGTGGCCTTGCAGCACATCGACGACCTGGAAGTCCCCTGCTTTACAAATGCCAGCGTCCAGCTCACTTCCCGCCCCGTAGCCGACATAGAACTCGCAACGCCCGGGATGGAAAGGCAGCTCATCGGACACGATGATGGGGATGGTCGCCCCAGACAAGGGGTTGGTCACCGTCACCCTGGACACCCTGAAGCTGCACTTGATGTCTGACGAAGTAGAAGCGTCACACGTCGTCAGGGTCTTCGTGTACTGAAAAATTAGAAATATTAGCAATTAGATTCTAAGCTTCGTGAACAAGCGTGGCAGAAAGAGATACGTATGAGCGGACCAAAATAAATTCAGCTAAAGAATTTTTGCTAAATCAAATGATGTTTCGTGGAGAAACAAATTTAATGGCAATAGAATAGCAATGATTTTCAAGTAAAATATTCTTACTAATGAGCACAATACAATTTAAATGCGTCCTGCACATAAAATTCAAATGCATGTAATTGGATCACGAAAAAGCGAAATGAACTGCTGACTGAAAAGACTGGACACAAAATTCACAAAAACAAAAATATTTCATTTCAAGCAAGCTTTATCAAGCCATCTTAAAGCTGGGCATGGTTTAGTTTGCAATGAATGTATTGTAATTGATTCCAATTAAAAGGACTGGATGCTTCTTGCTGCAGCATGTTTTGCATGCATGTATTAATTAGTCGTGCTCACGGTCCTAACAATTGCACTTGAAATACAATATATGATGATAATGTTCCCATTGGTGCCAGTGAGTGCGGCGAATTTGTGGTTATTTTGCTTGACTGAGGTGGATAGTAGACATTTGCGTAGTCCAAAGGGGGCCAGAGAGATCAGAAAAATCAGATCAGAATAAACTTGGCCAAAGAATAGGGCTCTTAAAGTGATAATGCAGCTAAAGTGCTACATTGTTCCAGTTCAATGACAGTTCAGGGATGCAGCGTCTCATTACTGACCTTGCATCATTTCATATTGCCAGCGTGAGTCCGCTACCAATGAATTATAAGTTACATGCTTTCATCTAATGAATCAAGAGGATATCATTATGATTTTTATACAATTTTTCTGTCATACCGTCTCGTCGACTTTCATGTCTCATCCCTTATTTTTCATTGCACAAGCATTGGTTCAAATTAAGCCCTTAGATTTTCAGTAAGGTAGTATCCTCAAGCATTGGTTTTGGTATTTCACTATAATAAACAACCGAATCAATTTCCATAATTATAACATATAATAGTGTCCCATTACAATTTCAATTTGGTAACATTCAGGAATGAAGATGTGTACATAAAATAGCAGACGTTATACTCAAACAGGAACAAGTCTACTCCCTCATAAGTTTCTGTGGTAAACAATGCAGCCCTCGCCTTACCTGCACAGTGAGTGGGCTACCCTCAGCAAGGGTGGGGGCTTACCTGCACAGTGAGTGGGCTACCCTCAGCAAGGGTGGGGGCTTACCTGCACAGTGAGTGGGCTACCCTCAGCAAGTGCCAGCTCATGATCACTGCGCACGCCCAGGAAGCTGATGCCACAGAGCAGCTCGGGGAGCCTCGTGTACACAGGCACGCTTGAGCCGTCAAGGGTTTCCCTGGCTCCACCAGTCGCTTCTGCAACACGGAAACATATTTATTGTATCAGCTTCTAACTAGGGCTTAAAATGAGGTATATAATAGACAGAACTTATTCTAATTTCATTTTTTGGTTCTTCACTTTTGACTTCTTTGGAAGGTGTTTGAGATAGTATGAACTTGATGTAAATTTACCAGTGATATGATATATGAACCTGATACCACTCTCTTGGTCCGCGGACGTTGTACCTACCATTAGCTCAAACTACCATTCCATAGTAACAAAGAATTGGGGAACAATTATAAACAATTATTGACAATTCTAAATAATTGCATCGAATTAAAGGAACAACGATGTCGCCTCACGCGAGTTGCAATTGACATTCATCATGGCTACAAATCCGTCACAGCGACCGATCCACTGCCGCTGCTGCGTAACAATGTTGCGCCAGTCCTGCAGCTGTGGAGAGTCCAGACCATCCTGCAGCAGCGCCGACAACCTGCAAGAGATGAGGCCCTTGGTCATCAAGCCAATCACACACAGGGGGGGGGGGCTTGAAAACGAAACAAAGCAGAAACAAAGAAGTAACTTAGACGAAGGAAGCACAAGGCCTGAAGATAAGACTCGAGCAATAATCAAAGAGGCACACTCTTGAAGGTAACTTCTACTTGTTATCATGTACAATTTCTTTTGACATTACATTTTCTCCACTTGCGGAATGCTAAAAAAAAGTTCACACTCGAGTTGCACAAATAACCACACACCGCAAGGCAAGCACAGCATGTGGGCAACCACCTCAACCAGCGTTACTGGATGTACCACTGGTTGAGCAGTCTGCACTCTACACACAACCACGCACCGTGTACACTGGATGTACCACTGGTTGAGCAGCCTGCGCTCTACACACAACCACGCACCGTGTACACTGGATGTACCACTGGTTGAGCAGCCTGCGCTCCACCTTGGCTCCAGAGCGCCAGGCGCGGCCCTTATCATCAACCTGCTCGTCAGCCAAGACTGTCTGGTCCACGGGGTCCCAGTTCACAAAAGCCTGCAAACAAGGGAAACATAATAGCAAGATCTTCATAGATTTATTTCCCTGATTTTTAATCAGTCACAAAATTTATTAGCATTTTCCTTGAATTCAAGAGATGGAAATTGTACAAGCTATGAAAATTTTCTATCATTGTAGTTACAAACTTTTGGCAAGATTTTCAATTATGGTTCTTTGGAAATAGCTGGACTAGAAGTACCATACATATAACAGCTCAATTTCAAGTAAGACATATACCTACATAATGGATAACAATTATTACTTGGCCTCTTAATAAACTAACTTGTTTGCGGTATGCCAGCCCAGCTTTGAAGAGTCGCAGGAATATCTCCTGTGTCCATCTGTAGTACTGAGGGTCGCAGGTCCGCACCTCGCGATCCCAGTCAAAGTGGCAGCCTCACAAAATATCCAGCAGTTGGTTTAACACCTTAGCATTCTATTAATAGTAAGGTTGATGCATCATTCTACATATTTTAGCTATATCTATAAGTATATATATATGCATTCAGATTTTCATATTTGTCTCAACCAAGAAGGATACGTAATTAAATCTGATCAAAACTCTTCTTCTTCCAGAAATTATGTTTTGATTTTTTTCAACTCTTTACTGAATCTGATTGCTTGAATCTGATGTCAAGGCAACTGAAAACAGTCAAGATAATCTGGCAACAAATGCGCCAGTTGAACCTTCACATTTCTTGATCACCAAAGCCTACAATTTAATTGGGGGTTTACCAAAGGGTTTTAGTATTGCATCTTATTTGCTGCCAATAAAAAAAGCACCACATGAGGTTAAAATGCAGTATTTATTAAATACATATATGTAGTTTAGAAAAAACCCTTTAAAAACTACTAATACCAGCATAATATAAAGATGAGTAATTATAGGATTAATGACAAATTCAGAGCATAACCACAAGATCTATCGCAGGTGCACAGGATCGTTACTGAAGCTAAATAGTGAGCTCAGAGGCAACTTTACTGTAGAGCTGGTAAGGTCAACCCTACAGCTACTACAGCCAGCCCCTAATGCTACTGAGGCGGTGCTCAACAATTGAACTGCTACACATATAAAATGGAAAATTCCCATTAAAAAAACATGAATGCATTAAGACAAATAATACTGAATGATATTCATTGTTCAAACCATAAATAAGATAGAATGGGATGAATTTTACACATCAACAGTCAAAATGAAGTAGTGGTAGAGGGAAGTTATACAGGGTGGCATGAGGCAATTAAACATCTCAAAATAGTACTCAAACATCTCAAAAATGGAGCAGAATAATTGCTATCATACAAAGATATTAATGATATAACCTGTAGGGGTTATACTATAACCATAAAGCTCACTCAAGATGCTAGGTCACAGAAGGGTTAATGCCTCACCAAGCTGGCAGAGCTGTTGACGCATGTGCTCTATATTATGATCAGTCCACTGTGAGGGGGACACGTTGCGCTCTATGGCAGCATTCTCTGCTGGTAGCCCAAATGCATCCCACCCAATTGGGTGAATAACCTGAGGAAAAAAAATTATTTTCAATAAGTTACTCAGCTATGGCATACCATATCTAGATAAAAGAGTATAAAATAAAGCAGTTTAATAGCTGCAAAGCTATAACTTTAATGAAGCAGGTAGTGATATTTCAACAGCTTATCTAAAGCCAAGTGTTTCAGGCCTCTAGGAACAAAGAGCACAACAAGAAAAAAAAGCAGTTACAACATTTGGTGGCCATAATTGTTGGCAACTGTAACTGGTGGCAAGAGCATGACAAACAAGTGGTACCAGCTTATGATTTGCAAGATTTGATCACAATAACAGTTAGCCTGTGCACAACAAACACAAAGTTACAGCACCTGGTAGCCAAGTGCTCGATAGTATCTGGCGAGGGAGTCACTGATGGTATAGACACGGACATGTCCCATATGCAGCTCCCCAGATGGATAGGGAAACATGGCAAGCACATACTTTTTGCCTAATTCATCAACATGTTTCCTGAAAAAAATAAATATATATATAAGAATTTGCTAGTAAGATCAATAATTTCACTAAAATTGACATATAGATAATCATAGGTTTAATTTGACAATTTCTATTATTTTTAACTAACATAAACATGGAAGTTCAGCAGTGCTGTACAAATGATAACTAATTGATTTTTTCTCAAAATAAAATGCTTCAAAGATACTGAGAACAATTACCGTCAAACGGGGAAAAAAGGGACGGGCGGGGTAAATAGGGATGCGAGTCCCACATTTTGTAGAAATGTTGTAGCAGCTAAACTATCAAAATATTGCAAAACTAAAAATAGTGGCGTAAACTTCAACATTTTTACTATCTATTATGTATAAAGCTAGTCAAGAAATCAAACATTTACTATCTCTAAAAAATCGCTGAAAAAAGTGTGAAAAGTGCGATTTTGGAATAGTACCTCTGCTAAGGTCTGGAGCAAAAAAAATATTTGCCGTATTAAAAAATTTTACTTACATAAAAGTTGCACCCAGGTGTCGGCTTGAAAATGTAATTGACAGAATTTGCCTATCTCATTCAAAAAAAAAAAAAAAAATGGCAGCCCCCCGGGGTAAATACCCCCCCCCCCGGGGTAATTAGGGACACCCTTAAAAATGCATTTACAGTAGAACCTCAGTTAGCAAAGGCTCCAGTTAACAAAAAAATTGATTAACAACAAAGAATTTTGATTACATTTACCTCGCTTGGTGAAAAAAAAAAATTCACTTATCGAAAAATTAGTGCATCATCATTCGTCACAAAATTGTACATAGAATACTACCTATATATAGAATTGTGCACCAGGCATCATAGAATGAAAAGTAATTGACTTAAACTATGATTTATTTCTTCAAAACATATGATGGTTGTCACTAAAACATTTTCTGTTTCAGGTATGTTTTTCATGATCTTTTTTTTGTTATAGTGAAATCACTAGACTAGATTAGAATTGTGCGAAATTACAAACCATCCTGTAAGCTTACAGATACAGAAGAAATGCTACATGGCTGCTGATATGAAGCTTGCAGTGGACAAGGTCATTGTCAATGCTCAATGGCATGTCCATGGATACAGTAATATCACATTAATACTACGGTAATTAATGAATATGGTAATATCATATCAATTAAGGAAAAACAAGTAAAAATCACAGAAAATGTCATTTATTTTACATCTACATCATCTACAATGAAAGAGGAGGACTTCAACATACTGTTAGTAATGGAAGAGTACACTCTGCATACGTCAAATGTTTTAAAATTAACTTTTATTGCAAGTGTCCCGGATTACCCCGTTCCCAGGGGTAAATCGGGACGGTTTTATTTTGCGTCTGGCACCTTACAAATAGCCTATGGAATTTTTTTGAAGATGCCATTCAATGGCCCTCGCAAAGAGCTATAAAATGAGTCTAAACTTGTTTCTGAAATGTTTCATGGTAAGAAGTTATTAACAAAAAACGCTTAAAACCGTCCATTTTTACCCCGTTTGATTGTATCAATAAATTAACACAATCATAAATACAGACACCTCCATCACTGTAGCTGTAATCCAAGTTCAACAAAATATTCTATATCTGAAGCTATCATTACCTAAAAAGTGGAAATTGAATTATGATGAGATGCAGTAGCAATGTGGTCTACATAATTTAATGTTGGCAGAACCTACCTGGAGTTGGTACTTTTTTGGGGCTTTGTGACAACATTGTTCCAGTGCCTTTCAACCTCTTGTAGAATTTCAAGAGTAGAATCTTGTGGCTTCAAAACAAAAGATGCATAGATGATTAAACATTAAAGATGGGACATGATAGAAATAATGAATTTCCATGTCAACAGGTAAACTGCAAAAAATTTGAATAAAATTATTAAGAATTTATCTGTTGATTATTTAAAGATATTAATTGCAATATCAAAGCTTTATCAGCAAATTCATATTTTTACTTGAAGTTTTTTATCACAATTCAAGTTTTCAATTCATAGCATGCAAAAGACCAGGTACTCACCCATTCTTTGGTTTTGCTGTAGATTGAATGTGCTGGCTGAGACAAGAAAACACCTGACTGAGGCAGAGTTCTCTTCCATATTTTCAACCAAATTACAGATGGCACAATAATTGACATTTGAATTTAGATTAGATATTCACAAAAGAACCTGAAAAATGTGTTATATTATGAAATGGAAAGAAATAACAAAAAATTTTTCTCAATTACATAATATTAAGAAACAGCAGTTGCAAAATGAACAAGTCAACCATTGCTTTTTATCTACAACTTACAAAAAAATAACATCTCAGAAACTATTCAGTATTACTTAGAGACTATCCTTATAAACTCCATACTCCAGGCATAGTACGTTAGTTCCCAATTTTCACATTTATGAGCTAATTTGTTTGCAGCTGATAACAATTGCAGCATTTTGTATACCTATATAAATAACAACATGGTAGTAAACTCTATTTACTGCAGGATTAAGTACAGAGAGTGAGCAAAGAGTAAAAGATTTTTGACAATACATCACCATCAAAATATATGTCTTTGGAAGATCTTCCTGCTATTTCTTGGTAAGTATCTATTTACATGTATTTTTGGCAAGAAATTTTGAAGGTTTCAGGAGTTCTGGCAACAAATCTTAAATAATACTGTTGACACTTTTGGCCTAAATTCCTAATCTTGGTGATACAATTGCCAACCCTAAGTGGAAAATTGGGCAGAACCCACCAGAGAATCAGAAAAAAATGGCTGAGAATCTGGCCAATTTCACCCATTTCTATGACCTTTTACAATTTCTCCTCTGTGAAATAAGAAAAATGGCCTATTTTCACCTGCAATTTTTAAAAATTACAAGTAAAACAATCATTTTTACCTGTGATTTTAGGAAACTTCTGCATTACCAGTATATTCAAAATTGGTTGCCAATCTCTGCATAGTGGCATAGGTAGGCTTTCACATTGATTTCACCTCGGCATCTTTGGGGGCAATGAATTTATGAAGTTATACATGATAATGCTGTTATACACAATTATTGGCCTATTTTAAAGACAACAAAATGACTGAAGGGGGACAGCAATTTCCCATAAACACTGGTGACAGGTTGTGATTTTTTCATTAACAGGTATCTTTTGGCCAATTTTGATTTTCCAGTTTGGCCACACAACAGGTTTCAAGTATTGGCAAATAATTTTCAATTTCATATTCCTATTTTTTAATAGGCTAATATATAAGTTTTTTTATTTTTACTTTGAAACAGCTGTTATCAGTGTTATGGTACCATGAATTCATGAATATATATTTGCAAATTAGCATGAGGTCAGGAAATGCAGGTGTGGAATACAAGTTGCAATTCAACATCCATCCTAAATTACTTTAGTCATACCATCAACCGGGGCTACTCGGGACAGTTTTGAGAGTTTTTTTGTTAATAACTTAATAAATTCTTACGATGAAACATTTCATAAACAAGTTTAGGCTCATTTTATAGCTCTGCGATGGCTATCGAATGGCATTGTCAAAAAAATTCCATATGCTATTCGTAAGGTACCAGAAGCAAATAAAAGAGTGTCCAGAGTAGCCCCGTCAAACGGGGCTACTCAGGACACTTGCAATAAAACTTCATTTTAAAATATTTGAAGCATGCAGAGTGTACTCATCCATTACTAACAGTACTCTGAAGTCCTCCTCTTTCATTGTAGATGATGTAGAGGTAGAATAATGAAATTTTCTGTGATTTTTACTCATTTTTCCTTTATTGATATGATATTACCATAAACATTAATTATCATCAACTGGGGTGACCAGCCATGTTTTTGATTTTGTTTTGCAAACAAAAACAGGGTCGTAAACGCCGGGGTCATAAACGCCAGGGTCGTAAACAAGGTCATAAATGCAGGAGTGACTTTGGCCATCGCTTATGACCCCGCTTTTGTTTGCAAAACAAAATCAAAAACGCAGCCGAAGTCACCCGGCGGCAGAAGTCACCCAGCAGCCGAAGTCACCCCAGTTGACGGTACCCTATAATTGATGCAATATTACTGTATTATTGATGTGATATTACCGTATCCATGAACATGCCATTGAGCATTTACAACAACCTTGTACACTGCAAGCTTCATATCAGCAGCCTTATAGCATTTTTTCTGTATCTGTAAGCTTACAGGACGGCTTGTAATTTCACACCATTTTAATTGGGTTAAGTGAATTTACTATAAAAAAATATATCTCAGTACTCACTGCAATGAGTGACAAAGAGCACATTTTCTCGTGGACAAAAACTTGAGGTCAGGGACGGACAGACATGACGAGCACAATAGTGCGTTTTTTCCATAGATGAGAAAATGCACTGAAAAGATCGTGAAAAACATACCTGAAACAGAAAGGAATGTTTTAGTGACAGCCATCATATGTTTTGGAGAAATAAATCATAGTTTAGGTCAATTACTTTTCATTCTATGATGCCTGGTGCACAATTCTAAATATGACATTCTATGCACAATTTTGTGATGACCGATGATGCACTAATTTTTCAATAAGTGAACTTTTTTTTGCTCAGCAAGGCAAATGTAATCAATATTCTTTGCTTTTAATCAATCTTTTTCTTAACTGGAGCCTTTGCTAATTGAGGTTCTACTGTAAATGCACTTTTGGGGGTGTCCCGAATAGCCCCGGGGGGTGTACCGAGTAGCCCCGCCGAGCAGAAATGACCGCCATTTTTTTTTTTGAATGAGATAGGCTAAATCTGTCAATTACGTTTTCAAGCCAACACCTGGGTGCAACTTTTATGTAAGTAAAATTTTGTAATACAGTAAATATTTTTTTTTCTACAGACCTTAGCAGAAGTAACTTTTCAAAATATTGTTTTTCACCATTTTTTCAGGAATTTTCCAAAGCTAGTGAATGTAGTATTTTTGAACTTCCTTTATACTACATAGATAGGAAAAATGTTGAAGTTTATGCCAGTATATTTAGTTTTGCAATATTCCAATTAGTTTTGCTACTAAAACAGTTTTACGCTGTGTCCGAGGACTGTCTTGAGTTACCCCGCCTGTCCCAAGTACCTGTTAGGTAAGGGTTTTGCGAATGTAGCATTCAAATTAGATGACATCAGCACCATCTAACCACCAATTAGACATCTCATTAGCACCAATTAGACATCAGCACCATCAAACAACCTCTCATGCTTGCAGCTGCTATTATACTGGCTGCCAGCTGTGCCACAAAGCCCAGTCAGGCTTACGCTTGCTTGTCTAACACTATGTAAACAATCTTGGATGTACAGTTACCGTCACTCAATTCTGTAATGCAAATCACTCTAATCTTAGATCATTTATAAATAAATAAAAATAATATTCTGCCAAAACAGACACAGTTATGCATAGAAAACCTTCATTCAAAAGTATTTTGCCTTTGGTTACACATAAAATTTTCTTGGTTTGATTATTCATGCTCTAATCAGTACCTATATGACTTGCTAGGGAAGTAACATGGTGAATTCCTAGTATCTCGCAATCATTTATACTTGGAAGTTTTAGACCAAATTACTCAGAGTAAAAAAAACTCCAATAAAAATGAAGAGAATGAATGAATGATTGAGTAGCAGAATTAAACTTTATCAGTAAATTATTATTCTTCACTGTTTGGCACTATTTAAATTCAATGGAAAACATTAGAAAAGGCCAGCAGATTATTGCCATTACACTTGGTCAAACGAATGGACCACTTACAGGAACTTTTACTACAATAGTTTTCTTAAAAAATAAATTAAAAACAATCTTCTATGTAAAAGTTTATTGTTCCATTAAATATCTATTTTATTTCATTCAAGTCCCAAAATTCCTACTTATTTCTGTTTTCTGTCTCTACTCAATATTCCTCAATATTGAGGAATATATTCCTACTCAATATTCTGTTTTCTGTCTCTACTCAATTATCTGTCTTTTCTGTTTCTACTCAATATTCCTACTTGTTTCCTACATGTTTCTGGAATCTCACAGCTCCAACATGACAAATTTTTTAATACATTTGGAATATTGCGGCCCGATCATGCACTTTTGTTAACTATTGGATAGGAGGTAATTTTTTTTTCAAAGGCCTCCCACACTCACCATTCCAACAAAAAGGAATTTATTTTATTAATTAAAAACAGGGAATGGTTTCATGTCAATGATCAGGGCCCCAACCTTAACGCCTCTGATGGTGGCGTACACCGATTCTGAGGGTCACTGAGCTGTGACGCGAGCGAGGAGCGGGCCCACGTTGAACTTTTCTCTGACTGCTGTTAGGATGCTAGCTGCATTGCCTCTCTGCACAGCCAAACCCAACCTTTGCTCCAACCATAGAGTCTCTCTACATTTGCCAGACAATTCCATAATGTGACTGCCAATCTGTGATATTAAAGGACCAGTCATTTCACCATATGTGCCCGTCGTTTCTAATACGACTGGCTCGAAACAATACCGAGCTGCCAACGCTGCGTATTTACGTCTCTTGCTATCCTCCACCGCACAAGCCGCGAACCCAGCAGAAATAGCCGAATTATTGACGTGCGACTCAGCAAAAGTGTTGACGCAGGTTGCATCCCAGCACAAACACCTCCCATTAGAAAATGGGAAAACCATTAAGCCATCTGGTCTCTTACTATCCCCTCTGTCCACTCCAACAGGTTCATGGCATGAAGGAACGCCAGCGCTCTGAAGAGCCCTCCTGATCACATTGTTCAGAGCCAAGTGTCTTGGATGTCACCCAGCACTGTACTTACAAGAAAGGCCATGCAGTCCTCATGCATCCATCCGCTTTCTGCACCGACAAGTGTGGGGTTCGCATACATTTGCGCCAACTTGAAGAGCAATTGAGATGCAGAAGGAGTCGGGATCTAGAAGTGTTCCAAGAGCATCCGAAGGAATAGCATGAAGCCACAAGCCACTCTCTATCTTCGCTGCTGCAAGTAGACGAGCCCTGGATATTTGGTCCGCCGCTTCCAAAAGCCGCACTGTGGAGGCCGCGGCCACAGGCCCATCCCAAGTCCTCTGCCAGCCCAAAATCGCGTCCTCGGGCAAAGCAATACCTGCGTTCCCATTGTGCCACTCATCCACCGCCATCTGCAAACTGCTGCCCTCGGCCAGTCATACATTATGTAAAACAGCATCAACTATGCCACGGCCGGAGTGGAG